AGCAATTTTCTCTTCTAAACCATTAAAGTGTTCATACATAGAAATAGAAATTCTGGCATTTTTTTTCAATTATTCTTTATTTCTGATTTTGATGAGTCACTAGAGGATTAGGAGCCAATCATGTTATGGAAACTTGCTTAAAATACTTCAACTTTCCAAAGACCAAAATGGATACTTCAGCATGTCAAATAGTAGCATGACTGCTACGTCTTTGAAGTCAACATTATTCACTGCATCATCATAGTCTAGATTAGAGTCTGAAATTCTTGACGTTGTTCTGTTTTAGTACGTGAAATCTTGACATCTGGATGATAAGAAACCCTGTTATGCAGAAGCTCTCTCAAAGAAGTATCGTACTAGCTAGTGGTTCATTGAAACAATGATTCTTTACACTTTAAAACCCCTTTGCTCTGTATCTACTTCAAATGCTGTAAGTTCACAAGGCAAGATCTCTACACAATGGTGCTGGTAAAAGGAAAAAAGTTGTGAGCAATGCAGATGTTCTCCAGACTTGTCTCTGTCACCTTTTATTTACTTTTTAAGTCAGCCCATTTTCCTAATTTAGAGAGGCAGGAACAAGGTACATGAGATGCATTAGCAAAAATGTCTTGCACAAATTCTTGAAAGTGGATAGGATATATCTATTTATTAGAGATATTTTATGTATTCTTATTAAATAGTTAAGGACAAAAATTATTCAAATTCCTCCTTATGTTTCACCTGATTTTAAAAGAATTTGAAAAAGCATATATCGGCATCAGTCACTTTGATAATTTCCTATGAGTATAAACACAAGAATACTGACAATGATCCGAAAGCAATACTATAGATTTTTTGCTGACCTTATTGCTTAAGCTGTACTGCCTAAATATTTACTCTTCCTATCAAAACAAAATAATCTCCCTCTATCTTCCAAGTAACAGTGTGAGCAAGAATCACACACACTCAATTACATGAAATACAGATATTGGACTTGCCTCTCTGCTTAAATGTCTCCATCTTAGTTCCTTAGAGAACAAATGCTATGTCAGGTTTTATAATTATAACTTGTGACGAAAACTATGCATCTGAGGGGGGAAAAAAATCTCAAAACACCTATACTGCCATCTTTTGTTGTACAGAGTTTCCTTTATACCCAGAGGACAAGATGCTCTTGGTAAAGTTGCAAGAAAACAGAATAACTCTACATAATATTAAGGCAGCTACTTGGAAGTATACCTATGTACATCTGCTGATGATTTGGTCCTACAAGCTTCAAGACTGTTACATATGACAAAATACACACTGCTTGCTTTTTCCACTATAAAAAAATCTTATAAAAATGTTAACCTTAAAAATGCAGTAAGCTAAAAATAGCTGTTAGGTAGAGGAGTTGCAAAATACTGGGAAATACATGTATTTTATAAAAGCAAGTGCATTGACCCAGTATTAAGCAATTAAATTTATATTTAGAGAGACCTACGACATTGTGTATCTAGTCACACACTTTAGATATAATGGATATATCCACATTTTATCATTTAGATTAAATGATCTTGAATACAGACCTTTCCTTTAACATATGAAACTATGATGTGCTTTGATACATCTTCATTTTGTTTATTGATATCATATGCAACTTAAAAATGAGGAGTCTTAAAATGTAGTCTCAAATCACATTCTGTTTTGCATATCTAAGTTTTAAAGATGAAACAGTTGGAAACACAACTCATACCTATAAACCAAAGAAGGGTACAGTTTTAAATAATTATGTCAAGAAATGACAACTGTACTCTTTGTAGAAGCAGGGTTGAATAATTACAAAGTTGGGACATAATTAAGCAGTTTTGACTGTCGTATTCTTGAGCTGTCGTTCTGATGTGAAGTGCTGTCATAGCCAGAAATGCACTTCACACTGGACAGGCATCTTCCACTTTGATCTACACTTATGCCAGTGAAATGAGGTCATGGTCTGGTCATTAAACAAGGCTTCCTCATCTGGCTCAATGCCTCTTATCCAGCCAGGCTTACCCAATCTTTATTAAAATCAGGCATGATACAACATTCAATATTATGACAAAAGAAAATATAAACATCACAGAATAATGAAGTTCAGCTCACTTACATGGAGCGATGGAACACTGCATTGTAACATTAAACTGTTTTCTAATAAATGACTGCATCTTTCCATAAGACAGTCATATCACAAACAGATGCATTTTAAACAAAGGATGAAATGAAGCAAAGCACAAGAAAGTGCAGCGGTCTGTTAAAAAAAAATGAAAAATAGGGAAAAATGAAAGTAAAAAAATTTATACAAAATAAAATATTTATGACTTAGTGATGACTGGTGATTGCTAGATACTTTTGCGTTTGAGTAAACACAAGCTAGTCAGATGGAAATTTCTTGCTTTTATTCTTATTTTGTGTATTTTTTCTTGGTGGAGTATTTTGCTCTCCCAAGTATTTCATGTCAAGGCTAAAATGAAAACAACTCCCCACATCACAGCCTCTTTAGATCATCAGCCTGCTTCTTATGCTGAATAAGCCATACCATCTCCTGCTTATCACAACAGGGGATAAAAAACCACACCCAACCTAGGATTTTTTGGGGTTTTCTTCTGAAAAAGCAAGTCTGACAGGTTCACTGTTGTTACTACATCTGGCAGAACAATATTTCCATGTGGCACCCACCAACATAAATACTAATCACTCCAACTTCATTTCTGGCAAGCACAGGCTGACACAGTGGCTAGTACCTTAGGGGGAAGGAAAATACCATTCTCAGGAAGTTCACTGTCAGCAGGGTTTTATATCACTAGGTCAGCTTCGTAAGGAGTTTTTCTGATGACCAATACTGGATGTGCTGCAGTCTTCCTCTTAGTTTAGATCAAGGTGTATTCTCTTCTAACTAGTTTCAGAAAGCTCCAAATATATTACCACTAGCTATCTGTTAAATTTGGCTGAAGCTGGTCAAAAATCTCAACAACTATATGGGAGGGCCACTGATGAACAGACAGAGAGCACAAGATTCAGGAAGCATGAAGGCTGAAGAATAAAAAAATATTAGGTATTCAATATATAACATATGATACAATTTGAAAGTACAGTTATTGTGCACATCATCTTTGTGGTATATAGAGGAATGCTTGTTATAGTATAGCAATAAATATTTATATACATACACATCTGCATCTGAAAACATATGCACAGAGGACTCAATGAGTGTTTTCAGACATAAAAAGAGTTTGCATGCATGCATACTGTAAGCCTGAATATCCTAGGAAACAAGTAAAAATTCAAAACAATTTTAAGAGTTTATAATATCTGTTCTGCATTCAATTTAATATTTATTTTAAATTAGCCACTTCTGTAATATGTATATAATATCATATGATGAGGGTAATTTTGTAGCATCTTAAGAAGCATTAATTCATGCCATGAAAAGCATTTATAATGATTTTCCTATCAGCAATTTGTACCAAACCATTTATAAAGATGAAAAAAACCCTTTACTATGGTAATAACAACAGTAAATTTGAGCCTTCTGCAAATTTGCTGAAATAAACGTACGTTTTATCATCAGACTTAGTGGGTAAATAATTCAAAAGTATACAAAAGGTTCAATTACGGATATAAAAGATGAAGATGTTATCCCTACATTTGTGAAGTATTTCACCCTTAGCGATTGACTTAAATAGAGGTTTCATCCAGAAAAGGAACTTCAAATTAAGAAACAGACACTTTTTTTCTTCTCTTGCACTATTAAGTGGGTTAAAATTCAAAGAGCAGACTCTTAAATGAAAAATCTAATTGCTAATAAAATTTAAGAATCACTTTACCAGATCCAAAATCTGTTTACATAAGAAGAATCATAAAAGAAGACAACATACATGCACTATATCTAACGCATTTCAGCTATTGCATTTGGTCAGATTTAGCAAAGTTGGTTTGCTATGAATAAGATATCCACAACAGCTTAGAAATACATTATTTATTACACATATGAAGCTGAAATAACGACAGGCAGTGGTAAACAATATATCAAAGTTATGCTTGTATCAGAACTGTTAACATTATAGTAGTTATAAATGAATCAGTCTGAATTAATCTGTTATGCACTGCAATTGTACTTGTGATAATGCACTTACCTAGCAACACTGTTATGCTACCAAACAGTGCATTTCCATAACTGCTACATTATTTTTCAGCATTATTGGAAATCTGCAATCAATTATTGATGGTGTATTTCAGAGAATAAAATAGCAAACAGAAAGCAAGTACACTGAAAAGTTGAGTGAAGTCTTAAGAAAGATCTGCAACACTAAACCACTCTGAAACTCAGATTGCTGTTATCGTGTATTGATCAACCATGTAAAAAGAAGGTAAAGCAGAGAATGGTAAAGTGGAGAACTCACATTTGCGATCTGTTTGCGTCAGTAATATGCAGTACGCCTGGAGTTGATGCAAGCAGTTTCAAAAGCTCACATTACTGAAACTGTCTCTCTGATGTTGTCAATGCTCATTAGCAGGACACCACATTAAGTAACATCATACAAAATTAGAATCAGCTGGTCAACTAGAAGCTAATAAACACCATAGGTGTGAGCTCTGCGATAGACATTTGCATTTAACATACAAGACGGGACAACTTGTCAGAAAAATTGCATTCTTTCACAAAAGCATATCACACAGCTGTTACATATCTTTAGACAGGGTAAAAATATTCTTTTAAGCTCAGTGACACATATTAGTTGCTTTGTTATACGAAACAGAGGTTGGAAACCATAAATTTGATAACATAACCACAGTCCATTAACTAGACATAACAGAAAAGTTTGATATTAAACCACAGAAAAATTACTAATGCTTTTGTGCTTCACCTGATCACATTTACCAGTCCTTTCATTCGAAAGGTTTTGTCTGTTACTATAGTGAAAGACGCAGCCAAGCTTTTGGAATTATTTTAAAACAGTGTTAATGAATCTCATTGTTGTTACTTCTTCCATTTAATCTCCTACCTTAGCATCCTTGGGCTTAACCACTTTCATGAAGGCACCTCTCACCAAGGCTTCCTCTCTCTCCCTCCTCGTTACTTTCCGAGTATCAAGAAATTTCAGGTTTGTCAACTTGTGTAGGACAAAATATCTGACAGAGAGCAAAATGCACACAGTTAAAATACAGTAATAAACAAAGACATACTCACAAACCAGATGATTAAAAAAATAACAGCAATAAACAGCAAAACCTTTGTTTCCTCTCTCTGTTCATCTTTCTCATTCAATGCAGCTTATGTAAAAAGTTATAATACTTTACTCTCTGAAATGAAGCTTGTTGTAAGCTGCCCATAACAATTTATTACTGGATGGATCAAACAGATAAGAAAATCATCACCATGGGCATGTATATTCTCTATAGGTATTAGTGAGGTATAAGATATACCTAAAAATAAAATAAATTGGAAATTGGTTTGAATTGTCAGTTTGGAAAAAGGACTTCTGAGTGATTCCAAAGATTCATTCCCATATTGCAGGGGAAAATCAATCCATAACACAAGAAACTGCCAGCTATCTTTTCTAAAAGAATTCGTAGAAAACATTGATCTGCCAACACTTCTTCAGATGATTATTATATTTTCCTAAAAACACAATGATCAGAGAAGAGAGACATGAACAGCAAATCAGGGAGGGGTGTAATTTGCCTTCTACCATACTTGCTAAAACACCATCCTTTGTCTTGAAACGAGTGTATGTCAGTGTTCAAAACTCTTAACATTTAAAAAAAAAAAAATTTCAAGAGAAAGCATGGAGAGTTATTCCTGGTCTTTGCTCTTCAGGACTACATTTTGACACAGGCATCGTTTGCAAGAATTCCAATTTGGTCCTGTCTGAAACACAAGGTGTCCTTATGGCATACGGATCCCAGCTCAGGATTAAATGCAGAAGCACACAGGGAGAGTCTTTTTTTATTAAAAATATTTTAGGAATTCAAAGTTCTTGTTAGGATCCATTAGTACTATATTCTATTTATCTTTTAGAAGATCCATTTAAAGTACAGCAGCTTTTTATCTTCAAAAAAATACCATTGGCTCCTTTCTTGCAAAGGGAAAGAACAGGGCAGATGGGAAAAAAGCCACACAATCGTGGCAAATCAAAACATCTAACCACCTCAAGTACATGCTATTTACATTTAGTCAACCAAACATGAAGCAGATATTGCAAAGTGAGGGAAGTTCCAGACTTTTCCTGGCAGAGTGTAGAAAGGTGATTGAGAATGTTCCCCATGCCTAGCTGCTTTGAATGAAACTCCAGTCAGTCAGAGAGCCTCCTAATCATACCAATCCCCTTTGGCACTGGGAGGAAGAAATCAAAGTAGTAGAAAACTCAGCATAACATAACATTTTCAAAAAGCACCACACAAAAAATGTGTTTTAACAGGCAAGAGTTATCTTATAATACTGTTCTCAAGACCAGATAAACATGTGGGAAAGACTGTAAGACTCCCCTTCTACACCCAAGCAAAACTTAATGCTGCAAATAAGCCTTTCTCTCAAGTACACCTTTCCTCTTAGGCAACAGCTTCATAAATTGTTAACAAGCAAACTGAAAATGTTCAGAAAACACAAATGTGAATCCTAAATCTATGACTTTCAATGGTATTAGAAGAAGAAGAGTTTTTACAAAACACAACATGTCGCAAGGTCGTTTATTAAACAACAGCTATAGATCTATGAGACTGACACATTCCCAAACTCCTCCCAGCTTTCCTGGCTGCCGTTCCAGTCCTCCCTGGCATTTTGCTGGCCCTTATCTTTCAGTGGAGGAGAAGCTATCTATCTTGCATTACTGGCAGAAAAGCTCTGATGACAACAGATTCTTTCAAATGAAGACATGTACAGAAGGAAACAATATGTCAAGAGCAAAGAAGAGTGAACATAAAAATGAGTAAAGACACCCACTAAGTGTAGGGTGAGAAAAGATGAATATTCAGGTGAAGAAAACATCGGTATTAGAAAAATCAGCAAATGTTTAATGATGGAATGAAATATGCCATTGAAAAGCAGGCTGCAACAGAAATGACAACAGACTAAGACAGCACTGTCATCTATGCTGACTTTGGATCACAGCCCTAATGTCAGTCTCTCAAACATTTCAAAAGAGCTTAAAATTATAATAGCATTCCTTGATACACATGTATTTTTGTATTTTTAAGCCATCCTGACTGCACCTCAAAAAGCAGAATTAGCACCAGTACTTGCCAATTCCAAAAACAAAACCAAAAAACCTTACCCACATAAGCTAAACAGCAGACTACACAAGTCACAGGTTTGAGTTTTCTTTTTTTTTTTTTTTAAACTTGCACTTCTTAAGGAGAGCAAATATTAAAAAGTCAGGAATATAAAAGTTATCCAGTAGAACAGTAGGTATAACTGTGGTTAATTGTTTTAAAAGCTGGTTCAAAATACAGTCCTATTTATTCATATTCCTTTTACTGAATTTGAGATAAAAAGAAACTATATTATATGAAAATAATATGATAAACGGCTGAAGAAAAGGATATATTTGAGCTAGAAATATGAAGAGGCAGCTTCAATCTAAATGTAACACAAGTTTGCTGTAAAAAATACAGGAAAGGATTACCAAAGCCCTGGAATGAACACTTTACAATATAAATTCAACCCTTGTAAATTTAATCCAGGGTTATTTGTTGCACAAAATCTCTTTACTGTGATGTATGACATAGTTACTAAGGTTATCACAGCAGTATCCTAAAGTTGCATAGTACATAAAACATTTCAGTTAACAATGCAGGGAGGTTAACTCCCACAGATAACCTACTATCAGAGGGTTAGACCAGATGACATGCCTCTGTCAGCTTTCAGGAGCTATTGATGGTTCAATCAGTTTGTTTTGAAGGTAAAGTACAACAAAAGGGCACTAAACTTATTCAAACTGTCAACAGGGACTATCTGGAATGTTGCTTGCAGGTAAGTAATTTTGGGTGTTTTAAGACTATTATCAAACACCAATGGCTGCAGAAAAAGACAGCTACTAATAACACAGAATGCAGCCATCATAAAATACTTTATGGCATGTACTAGGATCCATAAATTGCATGACACATTGCACCTGTTTTCGACTTGTAAAATCACTAGTTAAGAGAACACCCTTTAATGAAGAAAGATCCATTTAAATTTTACATTTTAAGTTTAGAAAGGTTTATTTTAGGTTAGAGGTTGGGGGGGCAGGGCCTCCCTGCCCAAAACTCCTGGTTGTTTGTTTTTTTTTTTTGTTATTTTGAAACTTAGCACTGCTCCATGTGCTCTGAGACTGCTGTAACTGGGTTTTAACATCTTTGCAGTGGTGTGAAAAAAGGTTATTATCTTCAGTGATGAGGGTAAAGGTGAGCTCCAGAGAGAGAATAAAACCAGAGACACCAGGAAGGTGCTTAGATATCCATTTATCACTATCTGTAAACTGAGCTTCTAATTCATGATAGATTAAGGAAATGAACTATTTAAGTAAAGTTGTATCTTTTTTTGTTCAGTATTCTCTCTGCTTTGACTCCCAGTACCAAGATTCCCATGAAAATAAGCTAATAACAGATATCCATCACACACAAACAGGAACACTCAGAGATGAAAAAAGACCGGAGAATATCACATTTCATGTTATTTCAGTCTTAGTTAAGTGAAAATGACAATAAAGATCAACAATTCATTTACCAATTTGGTAAGTGTTGGATGTGATTAGTATTATTTTAACAGTTTTTACACAGACCTGTCAAGATATTGGAAAAGGGGGACAGGCTTGAGGGGGCATTTGCAAAGGAATACAGTGAGTTTGGGATTCAGCTGCTATTGGCATTGGCAAAAGCTCAATGGGGCAAAGCCTTTGTTTGCAGAAACATGTTGGATTTCAGAAAGAGACAGAACAAAGACAGCTTTGAGATCAGCTATTGGTATTTATTAAACAATACACAATTATAGCTTTTATATAAAGAAATACTGTCTCTGATACTGACTCACTCTACGGCCTTCAATGAATCATGTACTTGTTGTCTTAACTCTGCCTTACAAACAGGGAAACTAAGACCTGTCAGTTACCTTGCAGGTATATTCTGTGTATATTTCTAGTTCTCTACTGTGTAGCAGTCATTACTTAAAATGTAGTCCTTGATTAATCCCTTAAGCCCAAAAAATCAGTGATGGTTCACGCAATCTTAGGAGAGAGTTTCACAGGTAAAGCAAAAGGGTTCAAAGAGAATGTGTAAGTGTTCCTTAAAGAATCACATGGAAGAAAGGAACAAACCTATTTTAAACATGTGAAAGAAATCTGTCAGTCTTAATGCAAACATACAGGTGTGAATAACTTTTATGTCGACTTATTTTTGTTAAATAGATACTGTGTAATTTTATTCTGATCTATTTTTTCAGTAGTCATTTAGATTCAGGTATAAAAATTCCTTCAGTTTTAATGAGTTTCGGTACACTACACTCCTTACTATTATCAAACACTTCTAGGAATTTTTTATTCTAGAGCGTGAACACCATAACCAGAAAAAAAAAAAAAAAGAAAATAATCACATAATATCATAGCGTCTAAGGGCCTCAATTCATTTATTACCTCCCTTGGAAAAGCAGACAAGTTGTAGAACATGGTTGGCCTTCTGATACTGAAAGATAATGGCATCACCCGTGAGCCACACTATAAGAAAATCTTAAAAGTGGCAATAAATTACTTGGGGAAGGAATGTTTTGGGTTGTTTTCTTCTCCTTCTACTACAAGAAAAGTACAGTAAATTTGTATATGTTAGAGCTACAGAGAAAATAAATTCTTCCACTGAACCTTTAGTGAAAGGCTATGGTAAGAACTAGATTCTGTATCATACTTTATTGTGTACATTTATTAACAAATACTGGAATATAAAACTGTACTATATGAGTCAATATTTAAGTTTAAAACACAAAATTAATCTAGAAATGAAAAACTGAGAAATATTTGCTCAAAGAATGCAGAAACGTCTAGCTCTACTCGTATCATAACTACAACAAATTCTTTGTTTCAGAAAGTGTTTACTTTCATTTTTCTATTTTCTGTGCTATTGTATTTCCTTTCTTTGACAATCACGGAACATAAAAATAGTAT